GGACCCTTCCCGCAGGCTGCTGCTGCCGCTGTCAGCTGGAGGAGGAGGGCTACCTTTGGAGGCAAAGGACAAAGCATGTAGAATGCCCTTCTGTCACCGCGCTGTTGTCACGGCGGTAGGGTCGTTTTTTTCTTAGTGCTTCGGACGCCGCGGATTTGCCTCCGCACTTATGTCGGCGCGGATAAGGACATCGCGGTTTTGTGGTGGAACCCATTTATGAAATTCAGTTTAACTTGTAGTTTATAAAGTCTTGTTCAATTTGATCTCAACTCTTGATGGCATCATTGAAATGCCCGGCGTTTTGTTCTCCACAAGAATACAGAAGTGGTTTGCAGTTGTCAACTTGTGGGATGGCTCAGATTAATTTATAGCCCTGTAAGCTATGGCAAACAGAATATTGTTATACAGATAGACACACATAAAATCTCTCCTTTCCAATTATTAACCAGACCTGATTCTGAACCCTGATAAGGTTAGCTATTTAGTTTTTATTATCTATATTTTTAAGCATGGTTTTATTACCTTTTTAAAAAGATGCTGTTGATCTCAAAAATAAATCCTTAAAAGAAACATTCCCTTTATATTTAATATAGAAGAGGGAGAAAGTAACATTCTAGGCTGCCTATTGATCTAGTGCCATGATGGCGAATCTATAGCACACGTGCCACAGGTGGCACGTGGAACCCTCTCTGTGGGCATGTGAGCCATCGCCCAGCTCAGCTCCACTGCACATGCACATGGCCAGCTGATTTTAGGGTCTTTGCTGTGCATGCAGGAGGCATGAGGGGCACATGCGAATGCACAGGAGTAGGAGGAGCATGGGAGGGGCTGTTCTCCCCCCCCTTGCACCCCTTTTTTGGTCATAGGAGGCTTAAGGGAGGCCTTGTAGGCCCAAAATAGGTCATGAGACGGGGTCCCACAGGGGGAGTCCAGGGGTGAGCGTGCATGCACAGGTTGTCGCACAAACATTCGCAGGGGGCGAGGCACATTGCATTATGGGCACGTGCATCTTGTGCTTTCAGCACACGAGGACAAAAAGGTCATCCAACACTGATCTAGTGGATCTGGTAATTCAGGGGAAAATGGGCTGACTTCTTCAGGAAAAATACTATGATTTCTGTTTTCATATTCAGAGCATTTAATGTGCATAAATGTAGTAAATATGTCATTTCTGACTGTACTGGCCTTGTGTTCTATATCTAATTTTTTTTAAAAAAATGAAGATTGGCTGTGTTTTTAGAGACTGAGCATATGTCGAAAGTAAAATCAATGAGCCATCGTGAAACTACCAGAAAATACAAATCAGATCCTGCCTATACATACCCTGTAATGAAGTGAGCAAGTGGAAACTTTTCTTCACTTGAAAAATGATATCTCGTTTTATTAATCATTTTGATTCAGGATCACTTTTTTCCCCCCAGTGTTTTTCTGTTCTCCTCTGGACTATGGAAGCATCTCAGTTTCTACTTACAAATGAATTTTTTTGGAAAAAAAAACAGCTGATTTATGTTTCTCAATCACCTCCCTAAGCTGACAAAGGGAGTTAATTTTCAGATTTTTATGATTCATTTAGTAACCATTTAAAGTTATGATTGCATTGAAATAGATGACTTAAGACTAGTCCTCTTCAATGGGAATGCATATGGGCAAAGGATTTAAAATTTATATTAATTATAACTTAAAAGGGTTTTTAAATAAAATGATAAACCATTGGTATTTAACATGTGATAAATTGTCAAAGATGCATGCTAGAAATGTAAAAGGAATTTTCTACCATCTTTGAGGGACTTGTGACAAAGCAAAGATACACTGAGGAAAGGTTCATATTTTAATACAGAAGATTCTTAAAATCAATATTCAAAAGAAAAGAAAAGCAGAGACTTTTCTTCTAGACTTGATGGCCAAAGAACTTGAAAAAAATGGAACTTTGTTGTTACACATGTGGATAGCAGTAAGAATACTTTATGTTTAAAAATGGACAGGTACCTTAATGAAGTATGCTGTATATTATATAATCATATATTTTTGTGGTTTACAAAAACAATGTTAATATGTTCATATCACACATTATTAGAGTCATACATCGTCCTGTGCCATGGTTTTGTTGTCGTTTAGCTTTGATTACCTTGGGTGAACTCGATCATTGTGATTTAAATAATACTTTATAATTTACTGAATTATGGTAACCCAGCCAATTGTATTTTATTCAATAAACTAGTTAGCAAATTATGATTTAATGTGGTATGTGAGTCCAGGCACTATTGACTTACCTGATCTCTAAAATTAATTGAACCTGTTATTTAAATATAGAATTCTACAGGTATCTAGTGAGTTATAAGCAACATTCCATTATTTAAATGTACTTTATAATTATTGAGGTAGTGATTGCTTAAGGCAAATGTTAATTTTAAGCATAACAGAAGTAGGCCAATATAAGTGAACTTGTATAAATTATTCAATATACTTGCTAAAATTTTCTTCTTCTATTGACTAACTTGGAGGATCCCTCTTGTAATGCATTTGTTATAACTTCAAACTTTATCTAATGTTTGAACTTCTCCAATGAGGTCATTGCTCCCTATAAGATGGGGATTCATCACATTGCACTGACATGGTGCAAGTATTAACATGTACTTCTGTTCCTTTGTCACATGGGAAATTCTTGAGTGAGGTAACCATATTACCATATTTTTCGGAGTATAAGATGCACCTTTTTTCCTCAAAAAAGATGCTGAAATCTGGGTGCATCTTATACACTGAATACAGCATTATTTGTCTCCCGAAACCCTGTCCCCTTCTCCAAAATGGCCAGGCAGAGCCTCTAGGAAGCTGTTAGAGAGCTCCTGGGGGCTGGAGAGGGCAGAAATTCACTCTGCAAGCCCCCTAAAGGCTATTCATTTCTTTTGGGGGGGGGGAACAGATCCGTTTTGGTGAAAAACAAGCCGTTTTTGGGAGGTTTGCAGTGCAAAAACTTTTTTTAAAAAAATTTGCCTCTTCAACACCTTGGTGCACCTTATACTCTGGTGCATCTTATACTCCAAAAATGCGGTACTTTGTTTTTGAATTACTTTGCATAGATTTTAGTTCTGAAATTATATGATAGCCTCAACGGGGCAAATATTTTTATGGATAAGGGAAAAAAGTAATGTTCTTACTTGATTTAATGAGGTGGCAAAGAATGAAAGTCTTTATTCAAAACAAATGCATTGAACAGTTTATAAGGTCTCGGTATACTGTATACAATCTCTATAGCTTTATCAACTTCCTCCTTGCATTTGTGAGGAAAAGATACACTCTTCATATTATCATAATGGTATAAAAATGAAATTGGATATACTTAAAAAGTTAAAGTAATGTTTTGTAGTCTCTAGATTTGTATATAGCTTTTTTTAAAATGTAAGCAGCAATTATTGCTGTTATTTAAAAAATACAGTTTGCTCCCCACCCTTGTTCTGGAACCAAGCCACCAGAGTCTCTTTGGATAGTAAGAAGATTGGTGTATAAATGAAATGAATAAATAAATAAATAAATGAAACCCTGGTTAATTTTATTTCTGATGTTTGGATTTTGTTG